TGTGTCTACTGAGCCAACCTTGCTGCCTTCTCATAGCCTACTAGGTGCATAGCAAAAGTCATGTAGAATAATGGGTTAGGCAGGGCCAGGGTTCACATTATAGTCACACACTTTATATAGGTGCATATTCTTCTTCAGTCTAACGCTCTCCCAACTGAGCTATTTTGGCTTAGGTGCATATTCTTTAGCAGGTTACCCAACTTCTTCTCAAATATGTTTCCTTATCTGTAAAGTAGCCATGATACAATCTGGTTTTTGGAGGTTGTCATGAGGCTAAAATAAGGAACTATACAGACAGACCAAGAGCATAGTAAGTACTGAATAGATGATAGCTGAGGTTATTGTTTTCTGCACTGTCCTCTTTCTCAGCATCTTCCTCACTCCTTTAGTCCTCTGGCTGTTGTTTAGCTGATAAAATTCTTCAGTGGAGACTGAATAGGGCCCTGTCTTCCAGATCTTTCCTCTCCTTTTCCCCCAATACAACTTTGCCTATCTTCTTTATCTGTTTCCAGCTCTATATTCACTATTGGGATAAAACTGATTCAGCTAGCTATTCTTTTGTTTGCATTAACTCATGTGTCCACTAAAGATAACATTTGTGTTTTAACGGGGACCTTTGACACCATAACCCAACAGAATAAAAAGTACCTCAGTCCTCCTACCTGACTGTGGCTCTCCCATTGTCTGAGAACAGCATCCTTCTAGGCACTTGCTTCTCATAGTTTGTGGCCCAGAAGCATGACACCACCCTGGAACTGTTCAGAATCTCAAACCTTGCTCCACACCTATTGCCTCAGAATCCATTTGGTGATAGCCCCATGACTCAGGTGCACATGAGAGTTCGAGCAGCACTACCATGACAAGGAGCAGCTGGCTAAAATGACAGGTGAGGACTCTTTTCCAGGGAGTAGTGCTTGTGTCCACACTCCTATAACAGCTATGTGCAGCTATAGGAATGGTGCTCCTATCATGGCCACCTGGAGACTATGGCATCTCATGAGAACCCAGCTGCTAGCTTGCCATGCTGGATCTCTGGAGCTTCCAGGAGAGTCAGGCTCCAGTTACTGGAATCAGAGGGCTAATTGGCCCTGCATGGCTCCAAATCCTGCCAGTTGCGAGGGGAGTGACAAGACTCCCCAAGGAGCCAACCAAATGTAAAGCAAAAAGAGCCAAAGGCAAGGAGAGATGGAGAACTAAAAGCTGATGCCTGGAAATGGAACTGTTACGTTTCTATCTTCCTGCCCAAATGCACAAGGGGGAGAGCATCAGCTTGGAACCATTTCTTTGTCTTGTCAGTTCATCTGTCCTTTAGCTACATCCTGCCTAGCAACAGTTGTTAATGTGACTCCCAGCCTCCCAACTTTCTTTGGACAGTGATAAGGGAATAAGTTCAGCCCACAGAGAAGTCAGGGCATCCAGATGGAGCCAGATTGTCTGAGCTGAGTCAAGGAAAGAGCTTCCTGGAAAATGGGGGAAATGGTGCATTGTGGGGCTGTGTCTTCAAAGCAAAGAGTTGTTGGAGGAAGAGCTAGGGCTGTGTGAAATGGGTGAGACTGCTATTTAGCTCCTTTTCTTTTTTCTTCTGGCCACCTTGAAGAACGCTACCAGTAATATTGCCACCTCTACATTCATGTAATGATATGCTTAACCTTCCTAAGTGCTGCTGTAGCCATGATCTCATTTCACTCTCTCAACAATGCAGAGTGAACAAGATCAGAGGCAGGTTCATTATGATGTGGACCAAGCATCCAGGCTAGGCCAGAACATGGTATGCTGGTGACAATAAGGCTTTGGCAGTCCTGTGGTGGAAACTCTTGGTAGCCAGAGGGTCTAGGATCCTGAGTGGAAGCAGCTGGTGGTGCTGGGATTATGGGCCATGTCCATGAGATTTGGCTCTAGCCAGATGACTAATTTTGCTCAGCCTCTTTAGATTTCTGCTGTTCTATCTTAGAGACCCTGAGTGGAGGAGGAGGAGCAATCACCTGGCTATTTGGCAGGACAGTTAGAGTCAGTGATGAGGAGATAATGGATGTGAAAGCACCTTTTCTCAAATGAGGTAATGGACATAAAAATGCAAATAACCACATGGATCTAAAGTGTTGATATCATTAGATATAAGATAAAGGCTAGACCTGTATGTGGGGGTACTGAATAGAGAGAGCAAGCCTAGTGAAGGGTAAGGAGATATTTTGGAGACCTTGAGTAGGAAGAGGACAGAATGAAGGCATTGCATAGTTTGATAACTGAAAACAGAAAAAAATAGCAGGTTCCAGAAACAAATCTGGGTGGGGGTGAATTTTATCTGCTTCATAATTTTCTTCAGGGTTGCCCTGTTGGAAAAGACCAGAAGCTAAACATCTTTCAAAGTCAAATTGCCTTTTTCCCCCAGGAAGGCAGTCATGTGACCCATAGACAGCTGAGCTCCTCTCATCCATCACGGCTTGCCTTCAGTGTCACTCCTGATTCTCCAGGCACTTAGCAAATTTCAGAGGGACTGAGCTGCAGACACAGAAAGATGCAAACCCCAGAAGGAAATGAAGCACTTTCATTTGAATTACAAAATGACCTCGCGGTCTATTAATGGAGATGCTTCTTCCTTGAAGCACCCAAAGTGTCTAGGAAGTTACAGGCAGTGTGAAGGAAGAACTGCTTGTTAGGGATGATAAGTCCAGCTCAGTTAGGTATAACAAATAGCAGGAACAAATGTGCTCCAGTCTGGGAAGATAGAACATGACCTATGGGCACAGCTTAGATTCTGGTCTCTCTTCCCAATTCATCTGTTCAGCTAGCACCATCCCCATATCGTCCATGGTACCTTCCCCAGCTTCTCACACCACCTCTGAACACATAAGTTGGCACTGAATCCTATAGTTCATCTAATATCATCCAGTGCTCTCATTCTCTTAGATATTGGACACTTGTGTCTCCTTCAGGTAGACTAGCCATTTTCTGTGGAAAGAGATCTGTAATTTCTTTCATGTCTCCCCAGGGCTCTGAACTATCTGAATAGACATGCAATAAATACTTGTTGATTGACTAACATGAGTCAAAAGAATAAAGCAAAATAGTTTGTGTCCCACAGCACTCTTTGGTTCATTGCTTGCTCTGGCCCTAGGAATACTCATTTTCATCCTGAATATTGACGGGTCCCCAATTTCTGGAAAAGCAAAGGGGAAAAAGCTGATGTTTCTGCAGCAAGAGTGGGGCCAGTACCAAGCTCTTCCTTAACATGGTCCACCTGTATCTTCCTTGCTTTCCATTCCAAGGGCTGCATAGCCCAACAGCCTGCCCTGGAGTGCCTGGCTACATCAGCAATGACCTAGTGTCATCCCAAAAGAGACTATTTTACTGTTGATAAAGCCAGATGGCAGAAGGCAAAAGTTTGATTTGGAAAGCAACCCCAGGACTAAAGCAAGGCCACAGCTGCAGGTGTTCTCTTGTTCCTTTCAAGGTTGAGCTCTGGCCTGCCACCATGTGCACAAATGAGAGAAGCCCCAGCCTAAGGACATCCCTCAGAACTCCTATCCCAGGAAGGTACTTTTCCAGGACTCTGGATAGCTAGCTTCTAGCTTCTGAGTGCTATCAGTTAGAAAGTGACCATTTGTCTTAGTAGGCCAGAGGGAGGAAGCCAACTTATGAATTCCATTAGCTGGTCCACATGGTAGCATCCCCTCTACCTCCCTAGGGGAGCTAGTCTACATGCAGCCAGAGAAGCTGTGGTTGCTATCAAGTCAGTTGGGGTCTGTCTGTTTTTCTGAGCTCTTGTATGACAGAGAAAACTGAAAAGTTCTTAGCTAGACTGTCTATTTCTTTTTCATACAATTACTCTAAATCTTCTCCCTGTTTCCAACAAATCATCTTAAACTTTGCTCTAATTACTTGATTTGTGTCCTGATAAATAATCTAACTTCTTGAAACCAAATGGTTTTGTTTCACCTCTGATGAATTTGGTGCTCATTTTACAGACTACACACATTGAGGTGGTGAGATGCCTATCCCATAGGCCAAATCATGGAGCTAAAACCTTGGAGTCATTTGGCTCTAGCCCTTTCTTCCACCTCCACCTACTTTGCCCTTTCCCTCAGCCACCATTCATTCCACTTTTTACCTTCTTCCTCGACTCTGGGACTCAGTACTTTCACAGGCCCCACTGCCCCTATCTCTTCACCCCTCAGGGCTCTTTGACTCCCATATGTGGGTTTATCTGCCTGCAGTATGATTCACTCTGGCCCTTGATGTACAAGTGTATAAAGCTCTTAGCTCAAAAGCTAAGTTGTGGGCATCAGGAGAACAATTTGTAATCAGCTCTTCAAGTCTGAAGGGCTTCTCTTCTCCTAGCTCTTCTGAGTTTCAAGTTGGTGCACAGCCCTAAGATGTAGCTCCCCTTCCTGTTCACAGGAGCCATTTTCTGACAATCCCATTAAATGAAATAGGTTGGCATTATGTACAACCATGTAAAGCAATGGCCCTAAACACCCTTGTTTCTATATGCCATCTAAATAGTTCCTGTTTACCTATCACCTAAGAGGCATTAAAATGTCAAATTGCACAAGGTTTTCATGGAGAGATATGTTCTATGTTCTAAAATGACTTTCCATTCCTTTCCCACTTACATGTGGCCTGTTCCATCAAGGGTTGGATATCCCTTGGGATTAAATCACCAATGAAGATGGAAAATACTAGTTAACTTCAGCATAACACCTTTACACTTAGGCTTCTTGTTGTGGTGTCCTGGTGTCATGGAGGGAGGATCTCACTCATTATCTCAGGTTCCAGGGCACCAGTTTTTCTGAAGACAAGTGGCTTCTCTTGCCTACATACCTTACTGCAGTCTGAAATACAAGGCAGTCATCATCTCCCTTAGTGTCTCAGGAAGTAGGAAGTTGAGCTGTAATCTCTGAGGTACCAGGGCTAGAATCCTAACCTGTGTCCCTCCGAGCTGATTCTGAGGCTTAGTTCCCTTTGCATCTTCTTTTGCTCCCATCTCCCCCTTCCCTCAGTCATGTGATGCAGGAAGAGAGCGCAAATGATATGGAATGTGAGCAGCTGCCAACAGAGATACTGCGACAAGTGACCATTCACCGAGACCCTATTTGTGGCTTTGGCTTCGTGGCTGGCAGTGAGAGGCCTGTGGTGGTTCGTTCTGTGAGGCCAGGTAGGTGTCTCTCAGAGTGACTTCCCAGCCATAGCTTCTGTTGCCCAACACCCACATATCTTTTGAAAGAGCAGAGCTTCTGAGCATAACATGTTGCCAGGGAACGCTTGATGTGTTAGTAACAACTTGGCCACCAATAGCTGTGTTTAACCCTGATAGACACAACCAGTGAGGTGGTGTGAGGCCCCAGTCAGAGGTTGCAGTTGATAATTTAGTAGGTTCGGGGCCTTAATAAAGCTTCCCTTTGCATATAACTCGCATAGAAGTGTCATAATGCCTTGGAAGAGAAAGTACCATTCAATTCAATTCAACTCAATGAGTACTTATAATACCACCTACTCTAAACCCAGCAGTGTTACAGGGAAGTGCAAGACAGCTCCTGTCATGGAGAATCTAAGCAACTGGCTATAAAGACCAGTACACACTCATGAGATAGCCCATCTACAGTTAGGTCAGACCAGAAATAGGCAAGAGAACACAGGTGGGATCAGAGGGCAAGGTCAGAATTCAGTCTCTGAATGCCAGGGTAGCAATAGCAACAGCTACCATTGACTAAGCATCTACTAAATACATCATCTTGTTTATTTGTCATGGGCAAGCCTGCAAGGCAAGTAACTAGTACCATTTCCATTTGATGAATGAGGAATCTAAGAGACAAGATCTGTCCAGAGTCACTCAACTGGGAAGCCAGTAGGGCCAGGGTTCGCCCCAGGGCTTGATGATACAAGCCGGAAGTGAGGCTTGAATGGAATAAGCCCAAACCACACTAAACTGAATTCCTTCCATCGTGAATGAAATGGGGAAGGGCTGAACACTATTTTGTTCCAGATCTGCTACACATTGACAGAAAGGAATTTTATTCCAGCCTTGCTGGGCCTGAGGCTTGAGATGTTTACAACAGTTTCTAGCTCAGTCAAGAGGAGCAGCTGGAGTACAAACTGGTCTTGCAGAAATTTGATGAATTTTTCAATCCTCAAAGGAAAAGAAAAAAGATGTTTGTAAGCTCTCTTCAACTGGAGGGCATAAGAAAAAAATTCAGCACAGAAGTTTGTGTCTGACCTAAGGCTCCAGAGTCAGTCATGCAGTTTTTGGCAAAAGTGTTCTATCTGTGATCAGGAATCAAATTTGTCCCAGGAAAGAAGGACCAGATAAAACTTAGTAGTAGACCACCAGGAACCCCAATTTTTACTTCAAAGAAAGTATAAATCATAGATTTGAAAAAGGCCCTAGGGTATAAGCTGCAAAATGGATAAGATGAAGAGAAAGGAGTTGGAGAGGTGAAGAAAAGGAAAACCCTAGGCTAGTACCACAAAATCATGGGGCCAAGACACCTAGCCTATGAAAGACTTAGTAGGGCTGATCCACATTGCTGCTTTTGCACAGGCACCTGCTGGGAAGTAGAGGACATTTGTTTTAGTATTTGAGTCCATAAGAGAAAGCAAAGAAGTATCCTACACAAGACAATTGTGGTTAACCAAGCTAGCCAACCATCTGTGGAAGCAACAGTAGACTGATGTGACAAGTACCATTCAAATATCAAGGCCTGTGAAAGATGTCAAGTTCCATCATTCAAGACCTCTTTTATTGCAAGGGAGCGGGGAAAGGAGGAGGAAAGGAGAAAGGAAGGGGAGGATGGAGGGAGAAAAAGAAGGGAGGAAGGAAGGAAGGAAGGAAGGAAGGAAGGAAGGAAGGAAGGAAGGGAGGAAGGAAGGAAGGAAGGAAGGAAGGAAGGAAAGGGAAGGGAAGGGAAGGGAAGGAAAGGAAGGAAATTAATGGTAGAATGGCCTTAACCGAAAAATTTGTGGGGACAAACCAGTCTTTTTGTTTTTGAAACAGGATTTTACTATACAACCCAGGCTGGCCTTGAACTCATCCTCCTCCTGCCTCAGCCTCTTGAGTGCTAGGATTACAAGCAAACACCACCATGCCCAGCAGGATTGGGTGTTTTTGTGTGTGCTATTCCTGGGGCTTGAACTCAGGGTCTGTGTGCTGTCTTGAGCTTCTTTTGCTCAAGGCTAGTGTTCTACCACTTGAGCCACAGCTCAACTTCCAGCTTTTTTGGTATTTTAATGGAGATAACAGTTTCATAGAGTTTCCTATCCCAGTTGGGTTCAAGCTGTGATCCTCAGATCTCAGCCTCTAGTGCCCAGCAAGATTGATATTTTGAAAGAAGTAGATATAAAGAATGATATTTTTGATAGAAGTAGATATAAGGAATGAAATGAGGTGAAGAAGTTGTACCACGGAGGATATAAAAACTCCATTTGTTGAATTCTTACCAATATCTATCAATTGTTGTGGATTATACATTCATCATCTCATTTATCCTCTCACCACTCTTACAGTGTGTAGGTACTATTATTTTCCCATTTTACAGATGAGGCTTTGAGAAATGGGACATGTCATTAAGCATTTCTTTCAGTCTCAAGTCATGCTGGATCTGACTTCTCATTCTCTCTGAGTCACTGAATTTTTTTCTTGAAATGTTCTTTACTAAACAGCAGAGTTATTACCACCACCCTGCAGATATCCTCTGCCCTCACGCTTTTAACCAAGACTTCTGTCCAGTCAACTGAGATCATATCCTCACCACCACTAGAGGTGGGAAACAGAAAACTGCCCAAGAGTCTGTGATTGCACCTGTCATTTGTAGAAGAGCAGCATCTCTCAGTGTTGAAACAAATTAAAACCTCGGAATCTTTTAGTCTATACCCTTGTCTCCAGGCAAATGAAAGAATGCTCAAACCATTCCAGATCAGTAAGTATGAAACTATTCATGTAAGAAGACTCCTCACCCTCTTCTAATCTCTTTACCACTTCAGCAGTGTGGAAGTCATTCCTCGTGGCTAAGCAACTCCTTCCTATGAAGTGCAAATCTGTTTCTCTTTAGAACCAAGCCAGCCAAGCACTTGTAACTTCATCTGTGAACAAGATCTGGGCTTGGGACCTTTTAGTACCATTCTGTGGACAGCTAATCTAGCTTTACTCCATTCTCTTCCTTCATTTCTCTTCCCTCCATAGACAGCATCCAAAGCTGGAACAGCACCCTCATACCCCTCCTCAGCCTGTGTCATCTCCTGCAGGCCTGGCTCAGCTCAGCTCCCTCAGGCACGGTGGCTCTGGCCTGACTTATGCTTTCCTGGCTCACTCCTCTCTCCTCTCCTCTCTGCAGGAGGCCCTTCTGAGGACAAGCTCCTGGCTGGTGACCAGATTGTGGCTATTAATGAGGAGGACGTGAGTGAAGCCCCCAGGGAGAGGTTCATAGAACTTATCAGGTAACAAGGGCCTTTGGGGCCTTGGCAGGAGTTTAACAGTGTATTCACTCCTGCTCCACTAGTAGCAAAGGGCTACCACTGTCCTTCCTGCCCCAAGAGGGGAGTCCTCCCAGGCAGGTCAGCCCTAGCCATGGCTCCTGGCTATCTAGAATTTCCAGGGTCAGCCAGTCAGGTGTCTGAGAGGCCTCGCACACTCTGGTTTAGCCTTTTCCAGTGATGTGAACAAACATGAAGAGCCTCTTGCCACAGTCTCACCTCCAGTCCTCACCTGACCTTCTTTATTTGGTTGGTACTGTGCAGTGAGACAAGCCAAGTGACTGATAAGAACCAACCAAACTATTAAAAGAACCCTAAGCCAGGTAGCAGTGGCTTATACCTGTAATCCTAGCTACTCAGGAGGCTGATATCTAGAGGATCATGGTTCAAAACCAGTCCAGGCCAATAAAAGTCCATGAGACTCTACCTCTAATTAACCAGCAAAAAACTAGGCTGGAGGCATGACCCAAGTTGTAGAGCACCATCCATGAGCAAGAATGCTGAGCAAATGCAAGAAAGCAGAGCAAGAATGAGACCCTGAGCCCTGGTACCAGAAAAAAATACACACTATGATAAGCACAGTGAAAGCAAATTTTGTTCCTACATGCCCAGCCCCCCCCCGTCTGTCTCTGTCTCTGTCTGCCTTTCTATCACCCCCCCCACACACACACACATATACAGACTCTCCTTCTCTATCCTCACACTGCAAGCTCACATCCTTGCATAGTTTTCTTAATAAGAGGACCTAGGGAAGACTAAACTCTACAGCTAAATTCAGTTACAGACATTGGCTATCTCTCTCTAAATAGAACCATTTACTTTCTTTCCCCCCACTTGCTCTTTCACTCTCTTATTCTCTCTCAACTCTCTCACTCACTCTCTCTCACTCTCTTGCTATCTCTCACATACAGCTCAGTGTTTTCATTCTACTCATCTTTCTGGGACTCTCAAAACCACACCTGTCTCAGAGCTGATACTTGGTTTTCAAAGGCAGACTTAGCAATTTATGTGTGACACAGCACTTGCAGCTCCAGGGATGGGGTCAGGGTGAGATGCTCTATCCTGTAATCCAGAGTAGGTATTCTTTGGCTTGTTCCCCCTCAAGCTAAATACCTTGAAGTGGGTCTGGACCCTGACAGCATTTTTAGTTTGGTTTTCTCCAAGTTGAGTTGTTCATTGCATTCCTCTACTGCTCAACATTGGTCCGTCACCCTTCACCCTTCACCTTCCACCAGCACAATATAGAGGGAGTTCTTTAAACCTCACCAGGACATGTTGGAATTCTTTCAGCTTCATCATTTGGAAGTCACTGCTCTGCTTCTAAAGGCTATCTTTGTACCCTAGAACAAAATAGTATGATTTTATGAGGGAATCCAGAGCTCCCTTGGGGTCAAAACAGAGATCACTGGTAGGTATTCATTTATTCACTCATTCACTCACTTAATCAATGAATAATTATTGTTTAATAGCTACTATGCACCAGGCACTATTCTTGGCACTAAAGATACAGCAGTGAACTAGAGACAAAATCCTCTGGTTTACTGAAATTTATATTCCAGTAAGAAGAGACATACCATACCACAAATAAGTGATTATACAATACATTAGAAGTAATGTTATTGAATAATAGAAATTCAATATGGGGTAAAGAGAACCAGGAACACCGAGGTACTGAATGTAACTTTAATAATAGGAAGGTGGCTCAGTGGTAGAACGCTTGCCTTGCATGCCTGAGGCCCTGGGTTTGATTCCTCAGCACCACATAAGCAAAAAGAAAAAAGCCGGAAGTGGAGCTGTGGCTCAAGTGGTAGAGTGCTAGCCTTGAGCTGAAGAGCTGAGGGACAGCGCCCAGGCCCAGAGTTCTGGCCTCACGAATGGACCCCCCCCCAAAAAAATAATAATAATGTGGCCAATGTTGGCCTCACTGAGAAGGTGACTGCATAAGCCCTAAGGCAGAGGTGTGTCTGGTTTGATGGAGGGACGGGGAGAACCATTGTGTCTGGAGTCAGGTGAAGCAAGGGAAAGATGGAGAGCCTCACAAGGCATTGTAAGCATGGCGGCTTTCTTCTAAATGACGTGGGAAGAGATGGCAAGACTGGAATACACAAGTCACATGATTTGTGTTATGCTCCTTTTTTGTTCAAGGTATTAGTAATTTCCTTGTAACACACTCTACTTCTGGGAACTTCCCAAACTTGGAGTTAATTCAAGTCTGTACTTTGCCTTTGAAGTCCTTAAGTGAGGGTGAGGGATTAGGGGGGTAGGCATTTCTTGAATACCCAGAGTCAAGGAAGTCTTGACTCTACTTCTTTGTTGTTGTTGTTGTTGTTGTCTTGCTTTGAAACAGACTCTTGCTGTGTAGTCCAGGCTGGCCTCAACCTCGTGATCGTCCTGGCTCAGCCTCCCAAGTGCTAGGATTATAGGTGGACCTCACCACCTGACTTGACTCCTTCTTGAATGATTTTGTTCCCATAAACATTTAGAAAAGGCAAACTTGGAACAGGGACGCTCCTTCAGGGCAAACTATTTTCATTTCTTTTAGTTCTTTTAAAAGATGGATTCCTGGGAGAGAATTTTCATACCTCACAGCCTCTTTGATCACTGGCATAATTCTCATCAGAAGAGTTTCAAATTCTTCATCCTTTGGAATATTTGCTATATGGAGAGTCTTGCCTTCCATCTGTTGCTCCCTGGCTCTCATTTTTTGGTCCCTCAATTAAAACAAATCTACAGTGTATGAGTCACAATGACCAAATGACCTCCTTTGGGTTTTTCCTGTGAGTTTCTTCTCATGCTTAAATAGCAAATTGCTAATAATCACCATACATGGTTCCCAGAACTCTAGCAGAATGCCTTTTGAGTTCCATAATTCAAGCCTTTCTTTTTCTTGAGAATTTTCTAGTCTGTAAATAAAATTGTTCTCATGATTTGAGGATTTCTATGGACAGAATATGAGAAGGAATATATAAAGAAGACCAGAAAAATGATAGCCCCAGAGGTAATGGTCATCCCATCCTGGATACCTGTGTGAACGAATATGAATGGCTTGTGCCCACATCTACAAATGATAAGGAGGCCAGGCATCCATGCCAACACTCAGATTACCTTCTGTTCTAATCCATATACCTGAATGCAACCCAGGGGAAAATTCTGGTGTTGCTTCTTATACTAGATGAATACCTAGTGCATGATATACTGCTCTCCTGTTCCCTCTTTTCTCTATAGGAGCGCTAAGGAATCGATCGTTCTTACAGTTCTGCACACTCATCAGGTGAGTGAGCCTCTTTGCCATCTGTTCTTCTTTCTGACTGAGAAGAGATGACCCCACCCCACCACACGTTGGAAAGCCACAGCATGGGAAAGGAGGGGGATCACTGACTAGGGCCAACAAGTATAAGGTGAGGATTTAGGAGTAAACTTAGAGAAACTTTGGAATCTTCTGTTTACTCAACAGCCAACCAAGGCTGAGGATTTTGAAGAGCAATGTTCTGCAGTGCTTTGCAGTGCTGTGCTGGACAGTGTAGTGCTTTGTAGTTCTGTGTGGTGCAGTATAGTATAGTATAGTGTGATACAGTACAGTCCTGTGTAGTGCAGTGCTGTGCAGTACTATGCAGTAGAATGCTGTGCAGTGCTTTGTAGTGCTGTGCTCTGCAGTGTAGTGCTTTGTAGTTCCTTGTTGTGTAGTGAAGTGCAGTGCTGGGTAGTACTGTGCTGTGTTATGCAGTGCTGGGCAGTACTATACAGTATAGTGCTGTGCTATGCATTACTTTGTCCTGTACCCTCTGCTTTGCCCAAGTAAGCTGTCTACTTCCACAATTCCAAATCTGTCTTCCACCTTTTTTTTGGGAGGGGGGTCCGGTCTTGGGGCCTGAACTCTGGGCCTGGGCGCTGTCCCTCAGCTCTTCAGCTCAAGCCTACTGCTCTACCACTTGAGCCACAGCTCCACTTCTGGCTTTTTTCTTTTTGCTTATGTGGTGCTGAGGAATTGAACCTAGGGCCTCATGCATGCAAGGCAAGCACTCTACCACTGAGCCACCTTACCAGCCCCTGTCTTCCACCTTTATTTGCTATATTCCATTGAAATTTACCTGTCCAGTATCCAGTTCTCATAAAGTTCTGGCAGATGGTGGGTGCTACTCAAACTCATTCATGTAAGTATTTACTAAGTGACCTACAATGTAGGAGACAATCTGTATGTGATGAATTGTCTATAAAGTTTCTTGTAGGTACAGATGGACCAAGGTTCTTTATTGTCTTGGTATAATTACTAACTGGCTATGTGACCTTCAGTGAGTAACTTCCCTTTTCTGAATTTGTTTCTTCATCTGTAAATTGAGAGGTTAGAGTGGAATATTACATTTTCTAAATGTTTCTTATCATACCATAAAAATTAATAGGACTACCTTTTAAAAGTAAAATCCCCAAGCCCCTCTCCTCAAGCTTTGGATTCAGAAACTTACTGTCTATAGCAATGAGCTATGAGTATATGGTAGTATACTCATAGACATATGGTAGTATACTACCATATACTCACATTGTCACTTTAACTCAAATGCACAAATCCAGATGCAAAACTTCCATGTGCAGAAATTCACAACCCCTCTCCACCTCCCTTCCTAGTGTCCACAACACTTCTCTGTATCCCACCAATGATGAGAAGGATGTAACTGAGCTGGACCTTGAGAGGACAGGGTTTCCCAGGCATGGCAAGAAGGGAAACTATTTCAGGGAGAAGTAATGCTTACATAAAAAAGTCAGGGATGAGGGCTGGGAAGGTGGCTCAGTGGTAGAGCACTTGCCTTGCATGCATGAGGCCCTGGGTTCGATTCCTCAGCACCACATAAGCAAAAACAAAAAAGCCAGAAGTGGCGCTGTGGCCCAAGTGGTAGAGTGCTAGCTTTGAGCTGAAGAGCTGAGGGACAGCGCCCAGGCCCAGAGTTCAGGCTCCACAACTGAACCAAAAAAAAAAAAAAAAAAGTCAGGGATGGAGCCTGGGAGCCTGGGTTTACAAAAAAGGCATGGGATACAAACCTAAGCCAGCACCAACCTCCTTGTCCCAAGGTCCCCAACTCCTTTCTATGTCCATGTGAACTTTGCATGCACACATACACATACTCACAGGTACAGTGTCACATAGACTCGTGCAGTACTCATATACTCACACATACATGCCCCCACCACACACAGCCAACTCCCAGGCAAACAGACTTTGCTCAGTTGCAATTCTCTGCCTCTAGACAGACAAGCCCTTCCCTTCATTGAAGCTGTAAATGATCCCTTTCCCCATCTTACAGTATGTGTGCAGTTGCTCCATCCATCCTCATTCCTAACCCCTGTCTTGAAAATAGCCATTAGTTCTCCCTACAAAACATGCTGTTTGTATGATGAGATTTTCCTGCTCTGATCAGAGACACAGTATGAGTTACCCTGTTAATTGGGTCTCCTCAAATGTCATTGCTTTGCCGACACCTTCCTTGCCTATATTCTCTGAGATAGCACCTACTGGTCATTATATCCTGATTCTGCTTAAGCTTTCAGCAAAGCTGATATGCTATATTTTTAAACTTTTGAAAAAAATGTAGATTCACAGAAAGCAAGAAGCTAGTACAGAAACATTGTGCATACCATTTTTCATGTTGTTCCCAGTGGTTACATCTTCCATAAATACAATGCAACATCAAAATTAGGAAATCAGCCGGGCACTGGTAGCTCACGTCTATATTTTTTCTAGCCACTCAGGAGGCTGAGATCTGAGGATCTTGGTTCAAAGCTAACCGGGGCAGGAAAAGTCTTATCTCCAATTAACCACAGAAAACCAGAAGTGGAGATGTGGCTGAAGTGGTAGAAGGCTATCCTTGAGCACAAAAGCTCAGGGACAGCATCCGAGTCCATAATTCAAGTCCCAGGACCAGCAAGAAAAGAAGGGCAGGGAATCAGAGTCAAGTGTGGTAACATATACTGATAATCCCCGCACACAGGAGGTGAATGCAGGAGGATTTCAAGCCAGCTTGGCTATATAGTGAGACTTGTCACAAACAAAGAAAGAGGGGGTTGATCCCAGAAACTCATAAAATTACAAATTCCACTTACTTGGGAGGTAGAGATTGGGAAGATCGTGGCTGGTTCAAGGCCAACTGAGGCAAAAAGTAAGAGCCTATCTCTATCAATAAACCAAGCACAGTGGTGCATGCCCTGTGAGTCCAGTCACAAGAGGTTGTGCATAGGAGAATTGAGGTCCAAGGCTTGCCCAGGAAAAAACATGTATCTCTTATATGAAAAATGTTTGGGAGTGTAGCCCAAGTGGTAGAGCACCTGTCTAGGAGGCATGAGGCCCTGAGCTCAAACCCCACTACTGCCAAAAAAAGAATTGTTTTCAGGAAATTACCAATATGCATATGTAGTTCAGTGTGAATTTATCATAAGTAGGTTTATGCATCCACCAACCCAATCAAGATAATTAAAAAAAAATCTTATCACCCAAAAGATTCCTTATGTTGCCTGTTAACAGTCATACCTCCTTCCCCCACTCACACTCTGAATTCCTACCAACCAATAATCTGTTCTCCATTTCTATAAATTACTCATTTCAACAATGCTATGTAAAGGGAATAATGTACTATAATATCAATGTAACCTTGAGGAAGTGGTTTTTATTCACTCAGCATAATGCCCTTGAGATGCTTGCTGCATGATGTTCCTCATAGTGTTTTGTCCCTTTTATTGAAGAGTAGTATTCCACAGGACAGATTCCCACTCTGTCAAAGGGTACCTGGAACATTTCTAGTTTGAGACTCTTCTGGAGAAAGCTGCTATAAACATTGTGTACAGGTTTTCTGTTAGATTAAGTTGTCATTTGTCTGGGATAAATGCTGGCCCATTTAATAAGTGAATACCTAGTTTATTAAATAACTGCCCACTATTTTCCAAAGTGGGCATATTGTTTTAGCTCTGTGTGTGTGTGTGTGTGTGTGTGTGTGTGTGTGTGTGTGTGTGTGTGTGTGTGTCCGTCCTATAGTTTGTACTCAAGATCTGGGTGTTGGCCCTGAGCTTTTTTTGGTCAAGGCTAGTATACTACCATGTCAGCCACAGCTTCACTTATGGCTTTTTGGTCATTAATTAGAGATAAGATTCTGATAGACTTTCCTGCCCAGTGTGCCTTCCATCAGATCTATGCTGCCTGAGCACCTAGGATTACAGACATGAGCCACTGACACCCAGTGTGTATCATTTTAAGTTCATGTGAAATGTTGCATTTGTGTTGCTTAACTATCTCCTCCATTAATATGTTAGTTCTACAAGTGTATGGACAATGTTCTATCACTAATGTATCCTCAATATCTGGAATAGCACCTGGCACAGTGTGGGCACTAATAAATATTGGTCAAATATTTGAAAGAAACGGAGCTCTCAGCTATTAAACCCAAGTAGTAGTAGTAGTAGAGTGCCTGCATAGCAAGCACAAAGCCCTGAGTGAAAATTCCAGTACTGCAAAAAATATATATATATATACACCCACAGATGATTCAAATGATAAGTAGAATTTAGGAAACAATAACCAGATAGTCCCTAAGGCTTCTTCCAACCTCTAAACTGTGTAGCTGATAATGGTCTAATGCCTACTACTCAATAAATAATTTAAATCAATATAAAGTACTGGATTGTGACCTAGAACCTAGAATAGCCTTGGTAAAACAAGCAAAGACAATTCCTTCAAACAATACACCATTTTTCTGGTTCTGAAAACTTAACTAATACCCAAAGAGCCTGCATGCTCTTTGCCTAGAACCACTTTTCCAGGGGAAAAAAGCCAAAATAATGAAACCACTGCAGAACTAACTTGTTTTCCATGGAACTTCTTTCGTGTATGTGCCAGTACTGAGGTTTAAACATGGGGCTTTGGCTCTTGCTTGGTTTTTTCTGCTCCAGGCTGGTACTCTACTATTTGAGCCATACCTCAACTTCTGGCTTTTTGCTGGTTACTTGAAAACAAAGGGCTCCTGAATTTGTCTGCCTTGGCTGTCTGAATTCTCAGATCTCTTGGGTAGCTAAGATTACAGGTGTGAGCCACATGCATCCAGCTACATGGAGCTTCTTGAGGTGTAGTACATGCTCAAACCATTTTTTGCTGAATTTATAAACTAATTTGTTGTTAATCTTGGCAATCAGCTAATAATTTTTATACTGAGCCTACTACGTGCTTAGCACTAGGGGAGATGAGCTATGAGGTAAGCAGTACTTGAAATACTGTATTCTAGGGAGTAGAGGGGCTGG